TTGGATACAGGTTCGATTCCCGCCATATTTTCTACGAAATTTCTCGAACATTCAAGCCGGTAAATCTAATTAATAACGTTTCAATTAAAAAAAAAAAAAAAAAAAAAAAAAAAAAAATAGCACATCTACTCGAATAAATCTATCCCTAAGTAAATATATAAGCAGAACAAGCACACACAATATATATATATATATATATATATATATATAGAACTATAAAACAAATCGATAAAATATTTACTGGTTTTATTTAGCTTAGTATGTAGATATAAAAACATCGCAAAAGGTACCTGCTTCATAGTTTTTAGAAAAGTTTTCTTACTTGAATTCTCTACGCACACTTCAGCCTTAAGTATAGTTGATTATGAGATTTAGTTGTAAATAACAAATTCAATTTCCTTCAATTCATTCGCAGACGGACGCCCAGGTGTGTGTTATCGACTAAACTGAACATAATCATTACTGTTTTACCCCAAAGCCTCTACTCACCTGACTCAGTAATTGATTAACACTGCAACGGTTGAATGTGCGTATAGACCTGCATCACTCACGGGATAGTTTTTCGTCTTATCATCGCGGAGATGTTGAGCAGCAAAAATTATAACATTACTGAATATTATAATGAAATACTTTTAATATAACATCTATATTCGTTTATCATTAACACTAAATAAATAACAGAAAGAAAATGTGATAGAAATTGTCGGTTTATGTATAATATTTAAATAGTATAGAAACGAAACAAATCATACTAGTAATTGTTTCTTTTCTTGCGCAGTTACCATTTGTTACTGTTTTAATTAATTAACAGCAATGCATAGTGGTTTTCTTGTTTCACTATGAAGATAAATCTTAAGAAATATATTAAGTTGGTGAATCACCAGTGTCGTTTTCGAAACTGTGCCCGACAGGGTGTAGACATTCTTCATTACTAAGGGATGCGTATATAAAGCCGAGTAAAATCACTATGGATAGAATAATAGGAGAGACAGCAAAAAGTCTTTATTAAGAGATACTGTTGCGTTGCAGTTCCGATCAGACACCGGGTTCATTGAGAGGGTGGATTTTCTTCCAGTGCAACGTTCATGGCTTAAAAATTATCCTTCAGCCATATCAATACTCTGAGTCAAAAACAAGAATAATTTCTAGCAGTGAAACAGCTTCGTGTCTTTTCCTGGTTACTGGTTGGTTTTATAGATAAGCTGGTACTTCGTCCTTGTCTAAAACATGTAATATATCTTCATTCAGATTTTTCTTTTTCCAGGCCGGTTGTAAAGTCCACTTCACGATACTGATAACCAACGGTTGAAAATAAATATTCCGAATACATTTTTGTGAGAGTTCTAAATGTTTTCCATTTAACAAGACTTCAAATTAACTGATGTTGGTATACTAAAAAGAGACGTACACTGTGGAGATCCAATATCGCCTACGCCCTGAAGGGACACAGTACAGTGAAAAAGAGAAATAATAGCAAATAAAATAAACATACACACATACAAAATTTTCGTTTTTCTCGATTTAAATCTATTGATAGGTTTTTCGACGATTTCTCGCATTATAGACTTGTAGGCAATTGTTTTTAAACTGAGCTGAATTCTCATTTTTTTTTTAATTTTTAAAAGCCACGTTCTTTCATTATGCAAGTGATCATGGATCCCCACAGATAATTTTATTAGCTGTCAAGTGCGAGGACCTCTTCAAAAAGAACGTTTTCTGGTTTAACGTTTCCGCCTGCACTGTTTTGAATGCAGAGGTTTTCCAGGCTAGCTGTTGCCAAGATGGTCAAGTCCAAACTATCGTTTAAGCAATAGCGAGTAACGCATTTTCAGTGCCGAACAGTAGACAAACATTTAAAACCGGATGGCCGAGTCCATTTCTCCGATAACAACTACGCTACCAGCACATTCTGCCTCAAGTTGATCATTGTGTACTTTATTATACAGTGCTTTGTAAATACACTAGATCGGCTTACGCTGTTTCTCGGACATTCTTGAAGAGTTTATTCTAAGAATATGAACGTATTTATTTTAACCCTTCTGCCATTTAAAAAAAAAACAAAACAAAAATTGCTTGCTGGTTTAAACTGAAGAATTTGGTCATTGTGAAATGTGCAGCTGAGTCAAAAGAATTAAATACACCATGAATATAAATTTAGTAGAGATATACTGAGTAGTATCTTAGCAATACAAGATATGCAGATTTTGATAGCAGATACGGAAAACAAAATGCAGGCGCACCTGCTGGAGTTATTAGGAACTTGAATAAGTTCTGGCTGCGTGCGCATAGTTTCAGATGGTAACGCATCTACAAGGAAGGACTATAAGGAAGCTTGAAATTCAGGGTATGTCACTTTGATGAAGTGTACACGACTTTGTTTTTCATAGCGTTAAACATGTCGGATTTCGTGCCAAATAAAGTATATTTGTGGGGAATTTTGATAGTACTATTTTATTCAAAAAAATCTGCGGCTGAAGATAACAGAATTCTTGCTGAGACTTACGCCAACCATGCTCTATCGGAAACAACATGCAGAGATTGGTTGAGACGCTTCAAATATAACGATTTTGATGTTGAAGATAAAGAAAGCTCTAGCGCACCGAAAAAGTTTGAAGACGAAGAATTGGAAACATTACTTCATGAAGGCATATGTCAGGCGCAAGCTGAACTTTCAGAATCATTAGGACTTGATCACACAACAGCTTAGAAACATTTGAAAGCATCAGGAATGATTGAAAAGCAAGAACATTGGGTGCCACACGAGTTGTAGCCAAGAGACATCGGACGGCGTCTTGTCATATGTGAACAGCTGCTTCAACGTCAAAAAAGGAAAGTTTTTTGTATCGTATCTTGACTGGCAATGAAAAGTTGATACACTACGATAACGCTAAGCGTAGGAGATCCTGAGGTAAGCTCGGCCTTGCATCAACATCTGCGGCTAAGCCGAATATCCATAGTTCAAAGCTTCTTCTCTGCATTTGGTGGGATCAGTTGGGCGTAGTTTATTATAAGCTGCTCAAACCGACTGTGGCAATCACGGGGGATCGCTATTGACTACAACCGATGCGTTTTAACCGAGAATTGAAGAAAAATCGGCCGCTATGCGAGCAGAGACACGACATAGTAATTTTGCTATATGACTGCGCTCGGTTGCATGTTACAAAATGGGTGAAAATCTAATTGGAAACGCTTAAATGGGAAGTCATACCCGACCCGTCGTATTAACCTAGCATTGCCCCTTCCGATTATTATGTGTTCCGATCGATGGCACATGGTCTGGTTGAGCAGCAGTTTCATTCTTATGAAGATGCAAAAAAAAACGAGTCGACTAGCGGTTAACCTGAAAAGCCATGGAGTTTTTCCGGCGTGGAAATCAAATGCTACCAGAAAGATGGGAAAAAAAGTAGCGATGGACAATATTTCAATGACAGGTTTCTTATTAATTTTTGTAAATAAAACATTACTTTCCATGAAAAATCAACGAGAATTTATTCAAGTACCTAATAGTAAATGAAATCAAGAAGCCAGAATTAAACGTCAATTGTAAGAAAACAGAATATATGGTTGCTAGTAAAAGGAACAGCCCAAGTCAAGTAACAATGTAAAGAGTTAGGATTTGTTTTAACAGAACACCGAAAATGAGAAATCAGAAGGCATATTGGAATAGAGAAAGATGTCTTCTAAACCTAAGTAATATAGTAACAAAGAGGCAAATTTCGTTAGTAAGAAAACATGCGTACTGAACTTT